TTGTGCTGGTGGTCGGTAGTTCGAATCCCATCCGCCGTCTTTTTTTCTGCTTTGCTGGCCAAGAGTGTCTTCGGGCGTCGGTCACAGCTCAGATCAAGATGCCACTGAAAGTAGTGCTCTTTATTCTTCCGTCGTGGCCAAACTGGTAGCGTCCGGGCCCTGTATGTACCTGGTCGCTGGTTCGAATCTCGGCCGGGTGATAATTTTCGCGCTCCGCTGGCCTTGATTTTACAGCCGTGCGACACCTGATGTGATGGGCCGGTACGCAAACAGTCGCTGGTTCGAATCTAGTGGACGGAACCCTTTTCTCTCTGCCAGCCATATGTTTCGGGGTGAGAGCCACATCGGAGATAAACTTCACGTATGCAAACCCCTCATCTTTGGCTCAGTAGGTAGAGCCCGCGCTCGGGACGCGGATGGTTGTCGGTTCGAATACTGACCGAGGCTCACAATTTTTCCTATTTAGTAGTTTGCGGCGCGGGGACCAAGGGTCAAGACAAAAGACCAGACGACATGGGGAGGTGGACTTGACCACCTACTCAGCAGCCCGCCCCCTCCCCCTTCTAAAAAACAACAAGAAAATGTTCGCCCGACCAGGTCTCGACCCCTGGGCTGAGGGTATCTTGTGCTCCAAGCCTTAGCGCGCTCGCCACTCGGCTGTCGGCTCCACTTGTCAACAGAACGTTCAGAACTCGGTCACCTTCTTCACGAGTCTTGGTCTCCCGTATTGCACGCGTTCAAGTCGGGTCAAGTCCACCTCTTTGACACGCTGCAGCCCGGGTCGGCTCCTGGCCCAAAACACGGAAAATGGCCACTAAAAGAGGGCTCTGCGACGCGCGGGGGTTAGGTTGGGTCCATTTATGGGACTTGTTCCGTGTTTTTGGCCAGAATTCGACCCGGGCTGCAGCGCGTCGAGGAGGTGGACTTGACCCGACCTGCACGCGTGCAATGCCGGAGACCAAGACTTGTAAAGCAGGACCGAGTGCTGACGTATTAGTCCACGGAGCACGCGTCAGCTGAGTGGCAAGCGCGCTGGGGTATGGTCCGGAAACCGTCGGCCCGGGGATCGATTCCTGTCGGGGGTGAACTTTTGTCGGGACCTGCTGAGTAGGTGGTGAAGTCGACCTCCTTACATTGCTGCAGATGACCTAGTCGGATTCACACCGACGTAGTGTCAGGAGTGTCAATTTTGTTAAAAGAAAAAAAAAACTTAAATAAATCAAGGGGATCCCCAGGCCGACGGTGTCCGGACCACACACCAGCGCGCTCACCTCTCGGCTGTCAGCTGCTCCTCGTCATCGTGACGTCAGAACTCGGGCCCGCTTTACGTGTCTTGGTCTCCCATATTGCACGCGTGCAGGTCGGGTCAAGTCCACCTCCTCGACGCGCTGCAGCCCGGGTCGAATTCAGGCCAAAAACACGGAACAAGTCCCATAAATGGACCTCCGCGCGTCGCAGAGCCCTCTTTTAGTGGCCATTTTCCGTGTTTCGGGCCAGGAGCCGACCCGGGCTGCAGCGCGTCGAAGAGGTGGACTTGACCCGACCTGAACGCGTGCAATCCGGGAGACCAAGACTCGTACAGCAGGACCGAGTTCTGAACCTTCCACTGACAAGTGGAGCCGACAGCCGAGTAGCGAGCGCGCTAGGGCTTGGAGCACAAGACACCCTCAGCCCGGGGTCGAGTCCTGGTGGGGGCGAAATTTTTCTTGTTTCTTTTTGGAAGGGGGAGGGCGGGGGGCTGCTAAGCAGGCGGTCAAGTCCACCTCCCCATGTCGGCTGGTCTTTTGTCTTAACTCGGTCCCCGCGCCGCAAACTACTAAATAGGAAAAAAGATGAGCCGCGGTCAGTATTCGAACCGACAAACATCTGCGTCCTGAGCGCACGCTCTACCAACTGAGCCAATGATGAGGGGTTTGCATACGTGAAGCTTATCTCCGATTTGGCTCTCACCCCGAAACGTATGGCTGGCAGAGGGGCAAAAGGGTTCCGGCGACTAGATTCGAACCAGCGACTGTTTGCGTACCGGCCCATCCCACCAGGTGTCGCACGGCTGTAAAATCAAGGCCAGCGGAGCGCGAAAATTATCACCCGGCCGAGATTCGAACCAGCGACCAGGTTCTTATCGGGCCCGGACGCTACCGATTTGGCCACGACGGAACGACTCAGAAAACTACTTTTCGCGGCATCTAGATCTAAGCTGTGACTGACGTCCGAAGACACTTGGCCAGAAGAGCAGGAAAATAACTCTCCTGGAAAAATAATCGCGGATGGGATTCGAACAACCGACCATCCCCGGAATC